GAGGAGAGGGATTTGCAGCCAGGAAGCCTCTTCAAGCCTTTTGGAACATAGGAAACAGATCCGTTTGAATGCCAGTTCCTAGACTGTATCCGTTAAACCTTGCTGGATTCAGGCTTCACTGAAGCAGTGAATTATTCTCCTTAAAAGCAAGACAGCCTCTGCATGGAAAAGCCCCATTCCTTTTTTAAAATCCGTTGGGTCTCATACATTTTAAAAACTACCAAACCTGCTGCAGAATTCTTACAAATCTTGGGACACTGCCACTAAAAAGAAACCTCCAAGGCCACAGCAGCCCTGCCCTGAAACCCCATCGTGAAGCACCTACACACAAGAATGGGGTCAGGATGCTGGCCTGGACTTAACGCTGGCAGGAAAGCACAAGAACATAGAAACGTTAGCTAACGGGAAAACTACAGAGGAGAATCAATCTCCTCCAGAGAGGGTGCCAGCACTCTTGGAGTTAGCTGCAGACACATTTGGAGAGCAAGTCAGTAAAATTCCACTGATTCACCACAGAGCCAGTTATTTTTATCATTCTGCTTACCCGTAAACAGAACGGCGTCTTATATGTAGGCCCGCAGATCTTTGCTATAAGCACCTATTCACATTTTAAACACATGAGAACAGACAAAGGAGGGACAAAACAGGCAAGAAAAACCTCCTTCACTACTTAAGAGTTCTCATACACACACATTCTGAAGTCAGCCCAATCGCACTGCAGTGAAAGCAGAGGTGGTAAAAACAGTCAAAGCAATCTGGGGCATCCTTTTACAAACAGGCACAAGCCCATCGCTGCATTATAGACTACGGTTTCTTCTAAGGTTCCCTCTCCTGCACCAGAAATCCCTCTTAGTCTCAGTCCAGCCCCATCTAGTGGAAAGAGAGCCTTAAACCAGTCTGTGCAGCCCTGGAGGAAGATGCTAAGGCAGTTCTGGCAGAGGGTGACTGATACTATGATTCAGTAAAAACCTGCCTCTTCTGAGCAAGGGTCTAAATGAGCACTTACTCCCTTCTGCCTGTGTAACACTGTCCCCTTTTAGACACCAAGGAATACAGAAAGAATTTTCCACAACAACCACCTTGCCTTTCTCAGACAGTTGATGAGGGTACGAAGGTGAGCATGTGAAAGCACAAAGGAAAGATAATCTGGGGGGGCCCCCAGGAGACCAAAGCAAATCCAGAGCTGAGAATAAATTCCAGCCCCTCTAAGACCATCCCCCCCCCGACCCCCCACTCTACCCCCAGCTCTTAATCATGCTCCAGTGGTTTCCAGACACTGCCTCGTGAAATGGGTGGTGAGTGAGGCCAGAAGCCTCTCTCGGGAAAAACGGTCCGAAGACCCAAACTTCCCAACCATCCCAACCTGGCCCAAACAGCAAGAGGGCATCCGGTCAACTCTTCCCTGTCACTAGGGGACATAAATGACTCGTCCAATTCTATTGACCCTCAGAGATTATGCGTTTAAGTAAGTTTCTGTGGATCAGCCTGGGAACTTAACCATCAAGTTGTTCCAATGGGAAAATAGGTTCCCAGTTATAAACAATAAACTTACAGACAAATTCCTGGAACGTAACCTGTTCCCAAAGTCAGGACTGACTACATTAATATTTGGAATATAATGATTATTTTTTTTGGCATAAACTGGTAATAGGCTTGATATAATAATAAACACCAGGTACCACTTTCAAGGTACCACCTCCTCCTTTTGGAAAGCTTCCCAAATAACCCTAAAGTAGCACTATCTCTCCTACCTAAGCACTCTCTCAGTCCATTCTTCTTTCGGGCAGGCCTACTTGGCATGTGTGTAGTAGGGGTATGGATTTGGGGGAAGGAGGTGAGATGGGAGGCAATCACTCAACATGATGGAAGTAACTGCAAGAGAGACGCCTGGCTGTCAGCCTCGGTCAGAGGGACGGTTCTGTGCTGGGCCCCTGTGCTTACAGCCCCTTGATTGGTGCCTAGGTTAGCCATATGCAGTCATGTCTTTAATTCAAGTGAAAACTCCTTGAGATCAAGAACCACAACGATCCTAAGAACCACCCTGAGACCTAGGAATGCCACTAGGATATACCATTTCTTCCCACAAAATGTAAAAGCAACAAACACTTAAAACCAACAGGACCACAATGCAATGTGGATTCATGGAGGGCATCTAGGGCTCACTCGTTAGCCAGTTAAAAAACCGGCTCTCAACATATCAACCTCAGGAGTCAAACCAGTGCCCCACCAAAATTACAGATACGTTTCACGGCCTCCAGGGCTGTTTGAAAAGAGCCAAAAACTTCTGAATGCTAATAAATGCATAACACACAAGTCCACCCTGTTTCTTCTCAACCACTTCATAAAAGTGAACCTTCCCAGCACCTAACACACCCTGGCACATAGTCTCCTTCGTACATGCTTGTAATGCCTTCTGTGGCTATGTCAGTGCACAAAAAGAACTTGACAAGTGAACAAAATGCCTACTACAAACGTCACTGGGGTTAGTGACTATGGGAGGACTGGCTGCGGCTAAGGGAATATCAGACTAAACTTAAGCTCCACAATGCAGCCATCTGACACGCCACTCAATTTTAAATCTCCAAACCAGGGAACTCCCAACTACACTAGCCCCTCGACTCATTTACCAAAAGCCACTGTGAAGAACATTAGTGAGTGTTACAAAAACAAAGTAACATGGTCAGGTAAAATTGACAAACTAGGGCATCTTATGGAAGGGCTTCTCACCATTTATACGCTAAGGTGTGCTGTGAATTTCCAGGATTAGATCATGCAAGGCTTCCCACATCTTTTTTTTTTTTTTTTTGGCCGCGCTGCGCGGTATGCGCAGCATGTGGGATCTTAGTTCCCCGACCAGGGATCAAACCCGCGTCCCCTGCAGCGGAAGTTCAGAGTCTTAACGGTGGACTGCCAGGGAAGTCACTTTTTTTTTTTTTTTTAAGGCTTCCCACATCTGACTGATCACACACACCCTCCATTTTTGGTGGAGCATATCTGTATCACTAGCATTTCAGAGACCACACTTTGGAAAACACTACCTCAAGCAAATAAATACCAGATACTGATTTATCCTCAGAAAAGCAAACTTAAAACATGAACCTCCCCCACTGGGGCTAGGCACCACCTTTTTACGTTGATGTATAATACACAGAGTATGGTATATTTTAAGGATGCTGCTGCTTCTTCTCTGAGGAGTCTGAAAGTAAAAAAACAAACCAACAGAAAAACCACCCAGAAGTAAAATCCTTAACTATAAATGAACTAAGTGACGGCAACACAGCCCTTGGTGGGGCACCGGCACCTTGTCAGGAATCTGGAATGTAGGTCTGGGGTTGTCAGCAGCTCTGGCTTGATTCCAGGTGAGCTCTTCCCAGATCTGAGTTTATTCTATCCATAAAGGAGAAAGAGTACCACCCTACCCCAGCACTGCACACAGAGGCCTGAAAACTAGATGAATTAATGCGGCAGTTCTCAAAGCGTGGTCCTCACAGTAGCAGCAGCAGCGCTACCCACGCACTGTGAGAAATGCAAATTCCAGGGTGCTGGTCACACTAGCCCTCAACAAGGTCAAATCCTCTACTTGGAAAGGGGGCAGAAGAGAGCATTCCTACTGTACATCCCTGAAAGCACATAATGAGGAAACTGACTTCTCTCCCTGTTCAGTGCCTTCCATAACAGAACCTGGCTAATAACTCTTGGCCAAATTTTATATGCTTCTCTTAAAAAAAAAAAAAAAAAAGGCAAAAGGATTCATAGCCTTGCTATTAAAACCAAACCCCTTTGTTTGGTTTAAGTTTAAAAAAAATGTTACACACACAGTCTCCATTGCTTACTGTTGTTATGATTGTGGAGAGGAATAAGACACCGAGCATTTCAGGTTGCCTAGCAACGCCTCAGGCACACTCTTCAGAGGTGCTCTCAAGAAGCTGAACGCTAGCACAAAACAAGGTGAAGCAATCAAAAGACACGTGCAGTCTGTGCCACATCTCGGCAGAAGGTTTACAAGCAGTAAGAAAGCCCGGCGTCAGGTGTGACTTTACTCGGGCCCATCACATGTAGCAAACCTGCACAAGGCTGCTCGCCCCACATGACTAAAAGCAGCATCATACAACACCCAGTACTGTCCACAGAGCACATCTTCAGAGGTTATTTCATTTGACCACTGTGACAAAGTGGATGGGAGAACGACCACCTGAGTTCAGTATCCAAGGAAGCCAAGTGACTTGGTCTAGGCCACACAGCTGGGAGCCCCAGAAGGAGAATCAAGTCTTCTAGTCCTGGACTTTCCCTGCTCCCTAAAAACTGATTCCCGTTTCTCTATCACCTACTTCTAGGAAACCCAACAAAATAAGATTCTTCCTCCAAACCAGAAACCTTGGGCATGAGTTTAGAGAAGCGGCAAACCAACCCAACAAACTGACCTTGAAGAATTTCTACAAGGATAGGTATCACTATAAAATCAAATCCTTGACATGTTTGAGGAACTCGCTATATACTATGTGAGAAAAAGGTCCCATTACAGAAAATTGTGATTAAAATTGGCTGGAATAGGTAAAACCATTTTCCTATTGGGGATTTTAGGCTCTGGTTATACACATTAGTAATAAGTACATTTTGCTTGTTATCTGCAACCTTCATATTTACAAAGGATGCACTGAGTAGGTGGACAACACATTGCTCAATGAGGTGTTTTAAAGGCGAAAGTTAAAGAAATGCCAGGGGAAAACAGTGCTTAAGTTGACGAGAAAAGTTTCCCACAATCAAAAGCTTATAAATGTATTACTGCTGGCATGACCTCTTTGGGAGCTCTGATTAGCTTACTGTGGGTCAGCATAAATGCATCCCATCTGCAACACAACATTGCTGGGGCACGTAACTGCACGCCACCTGGCGCAGTGGGGATCTGACTATGAGCGTCTAATAACTCCTGAGATGAATTACACAGCGCACCTTACGGAGCCCACCAAAGGCACGTGTCCAGTGACTCACGAAGGACTTACCCTCCCCTGGTGTGCTGCTGACTGTGGGCGGAGATCCTATAAGGAAGCGCACGCTCGCCCAGGTTCTCCAAGTTCCTCACCACAGCCCCTCTGTCCATCAGGGTTTCAAGTGTACGCTTCAAAGCAGCAGCGGTCTCTGGCTGGTTTTTATTTTTAAAAAGAAGAAAAAAACACATCAGAATCAATGTAAGAACTAGAATGATCAAGTGTGGTCAGTTCCAATCATAACAGCTCTATTGGTAGGGATCTTTGGATAAAAGCAACAGAAACTACTTTTGGCTAACAAAGTTTAAAAAAAAAAAAGAGAGAGAAAGACACATTTATCATAAGGATATGAGATAGCTCACAGATACGAAGGAAAATCTGAAGCAGCAGGCCTTGGAGAGTTCAGGGACCAGAGCAGCTCCAGGGATCTGGGAGGCAGGAACTAATGAGTGTTGTCTTCAGAGCACCTTGGCCAGGATGAATCAGCGCCAATCACTGTCAGTCCTTGTAGCCCATGATTCAAAATTCAAATTCCAGGGAAAGAGCATCCTCTTGGCAGGACACTTTGACCATCTCACCAAAACCATAGACAGTCAGTGGGAAAAGGGGTTGTCTCCCAAAGAAAAACTGAGAGATTGTAACCAAAAGGGAGAAAGGATGAGTAAGACCCAATCTCTGCCCGCATGGAGCTTACAATCTAAGAAAGACATGAACTCAAAAACCCATGTAAGAAGGCCAGAAGGCAGAACACCGGAAGTGACATAGGGACCAGAGAGCTCATGAAAAGAGAAAGCACATTCAGTTGGAAGAAGGGTTCCATTAAAGAAAGCGGTCTGGAGGGGAGCCCTGGAAAATGACAACGGGAGATGCAAAGAACAAACAAACCAGGCGTTGAGTAAAAGAGCAGAGACAAGAAAGTATTGAGGAAACAGCTAAGAGTCCCATCTGATGAAGTACAGGACAAGGAGGACTGAGAAGTTAAGATCGTAGGTTGGGTCCAAGTATATAAACAATCAATACCTGTTACTAAAAACCAAAATTGAAACAATATAAAATCCCATCATCCAGAGATAAAGGACTTCAAATATTTTGGTGAATTTCCTTCCAGATAGCCCTCTATGCACATGTATACACCAAAAACTTTTGGAAGAACAGACAATTTATAGGGGTAAACTTGAGAAGACACAACTAACGGAATGTGGAAAATGAGGGAGAGGCGTGGCAAAAGAGGGGCACCAAACATGGTGGCTGGGAGAATGGGGTTATTATTAACAGCTAAAGGGAAATCTGGACAAGCTGGCTGGGGACACAAAAGATGACTCTGGTTTAGGACATGCTGAGTCTGAGATGCCCACAGTTCCTCCAGGCTGACCTCTCAAGATGTAAACCTTAAGCTCAAAACAACAGGGCAGGCTAGAATTACACATTTAACAGTCATCTGCAGAGAAAGGCTATCTGAAACCCTGGGAGGAGTGAGGGCACTGAGGGAGGGGGTGGGGAGAGAAGAAAAGAGACCAACAACAGAACAGGGTGAGGGGGGAGTGCAAACAGTTGGGGGCTGACAAGAGGACTCAAAGTCAGAGAAGCAAACAGCAAAAGGAAAACCAGACCTCCCTTGTCACAGAAACTAAGGGAAGAGGCAGCCTCCAGAATGACAGGATGGAGATGAAGAAAAAACCACAGCACAGTAACTGCACGGTCACTTAGCAAGATGGGGCTAAAAGCTAGATTGCAAAGGTAGAGGTGACAGAAAGAGAAAGCTCTAGAGCCTGAGGGGCAAACAAATTTGAGTCAACTTTGAGGAGAGAGAAAACACAAGGAAGTTAGCAGTTAAAGGGGAATGAACCAGTCGAAGGATAAAATGTCGGATGTTTTAAACATCATCATCGATGGCCAATATGATTTGCTGCGTAACTGCTACGTGATCAACACAGATCTAGTGTTTTATTGGTACATATTTAATCTTCACCACACACAAAAAAAGGAGCCAAGAAGGTTGACAGATTTGGAAACTGGGCCTCTGAGAGATGTCATGACTTTGAGATTACATGGCAGTTAACAAGTGGAAGAGCCTGATGCAAAGAAAAGGAACACTGACAAAAGTCAAATCGGGGGAGGAGGCCAGAGGACACCCTGGCAAGGAAAAGAGTACCTCTCCTCAGACATAAGTGAAGAAATGCAAGCAGACAAATCTTCAATGCAGGAGTGAACTTAAGAAAAGGCTACCTTCCAATGGCTCATTTTGGATCAAATGAAAAGAAAACTGCAGAACAATTTTAAGTGTACACTCTAGTAACTGAAGAAAATCCCCTACATACCTGCATATTTTCTTTCTGACAAATACTGCTAAAATGCTGTGAATGCACTAAGTATTAGTTTAAGGTGCAGAAATAAAATTTCTACTTTTATTTCATATTGTAGTCTACTAGGGATTTTTTAAATTCCTACTGAAAATTATGTGTATTTATATATTTAAGCAGCCTTATGATAAACAGAAACTTCCTGAAAACAAAAATAAGGGCCAAAATCTCTTTGCATTAACATGAACTAGGTAAAAAGTCTATGGCAATTTCTCCTTACGATTGTAAACAAATATTTTTATATAGTTCTAAATCAAACAGAGCCTAAATTCTTCTCACATTTCATTAGTTCACAGACGTTTCAGTATTTTGCAGAAACCTCATTACTAACAGCAGGGTAATATTTCATTTCATTAAAAATGCTATTTCTTGACTTGATATTGCATCAATTAAATTACGGTAAGTAGATGAACAGTCTATCCAAATAAAGAATGGGTAAGGGAGAACACAAACAAACACACACACACACACACACACACCACACTTTGATTACAGTCTTCTGATTAGCTATCCAAATCATAAATTTTAATTCAGTGTTGCCTGATTAAAAAGGAATATATCTCAATGCCTCTTGTTTAAATTCCAACTGAAGAGTTTACAGTATGAAACATGGAGCATCCTCTTCTGAAGTAAGAGCTTGTATAATAAGATTTGCTTCTGTCCAAAAAAGGGGAAAGGCCACCTAACAAGAATGTAACTTGGGAAAATATCAAAACACATTTTAACTTCGGCATGTCAAGGTCAAATTGCAGACTGTTTGAATGGCCACATTCATTTCACTGTAATTCAAATTATCCAAAAGTTAAAAAGATGAAGGAGGGGTTAAAAGACTTCCTGTTTATTAAGGGAGCTGCTCAACTAGTCCCATATACCTACCTCGTCACTCTTAAGTCAAGGGTCAGCAATCCAGGGCCTGTGGGCCAAATCTAGCTCACTACCTCCTTTCGCAAATAAAGTTCTACTGGAACACAGCCAGCTCATGCATTTACATAGTGTCCATGGCTGCTTTCATGCTAAAAGCAGACTTGAAATTACAGCAGAGACTATATGACCCTCAAAGTCTAAACTAGTTACTATCTGGCCAACCTCTGCTCTACAGTGTAATGGACTGAGGGAAGCTGGCAAGGCCTCAATCCACTCACCCTAAAATGTACCACAGATAATACCATGAGCCTGGGCCACTGAGCTACAGACAGTGAGTTTCCCATGGGATGGGTCCGCAGGCAGAAACACAGGGCGCCAACCTAATAAGGAACATCGGCCTGACTGTTCAAATCACCACAGGATTCAGAAGGGATTCTACAAAATCACCATTCCACCCACCAAGCTCCTAATCTAATCAATCCAGGCTTTCAACTTCCCTTATTGGTGAAACTTCTAAGTCTATTAAAATAAAAATTTTAGGCTTCCAAAAGAAAAAAAAAAAGCTCTGCTTAACACAGCACAATGTTCAATTTGTAAAAACATATGGTCTACAGGAAGCACACGATCTTGCTGGCGTAATTCTCATTTACAAGGTCTCTGAACCCTTTAATTCCAACTATTCTAAGAGAGGTTGTGCGCATGTGCTCCTTACGGGCTTCTCTCACCCCATCTGAAAGCAGCTCCTTAAGACTTTCCTCCAACCCACCATATGTCAATGAAACACAATTCTGTTACAGCACAGATTGGAGAGCCAAAAACGTTCACTTGGACAAAAAAAGTATGGAAAAGAAACAGTGAATGAAATGTGAACGGGAACTAGGAAACCTGGACGCCAGTCGCAGCTCCTTCACTAATGCTATGCCACTCTATAAATTATTAAATTTAATAATAAATTATTAAAATGTATCCATTTTAAAGTTGTGCCTCAGTTTCCTCATGTGCTAAATTAGTGGGTCTCAACAAATTTTCTGTCTCTATAAGCCTCTCACAAACAACATTTATGTCACAATTCTCAAAATATCCTGGGGGCACAAAGTTTTTAAAAAGTCTCTCTTTTCTTCTGATATCTTCAGCACCCCAGAGTGCCCCACCCACCTCAGGGACTCTTTATGTCACTCTCATTTACTTCTACACAGCAATTTATGAATATCCTTTCATCACGGGAATGTAAGCTTCAGGAGAGCAAGCACTTTTGTCTATCTTGTACACAACTGTACTCCCCAAACCTACAAGAGTCTCGAGAGGGCGCTAGAAATGGTGGTTGAATAGATTAGCGTTATCAAATGTGCCTCCCCAACAGGGTCTCTTGCTTACTTACTCTCATTTTCCCCCCTGAGGGACTGGAAATTTCCTCGTTTCTCTAATACAATTTGAAGCCACTTTTCATATACAACATACCTCACTATCAGGGTAGTGACCATAATACTGAAGCAACATTACAGTACTAGCGTTTTTCTGTTTATTTCATGTAGTGCCAAAACGCTGTTAATACCAATACTACCGTTTAAAAGAATCCAGAATTCATCTAATAGAAGTAAAACTAAATATTTCATGTATTTCAGAAATATAAAGTACTAACATACATAAACATAAATGTTAAACCTGGATTGTTCTAATTATCTGTGATAAGATATAATACTATCCAAAGAATTTACACTAAACAATACTTAAAGAAAGAAAGTTCATCCTAGACAAAATGAAAACCAAATTTTGATATTATTATTATTAATTACTGGACCTACTGGTGTTCAGGCTACAAAAGAAGGCTTTGGGAAAACCCAACAGCTAACTTCAAATATTTTCAGGGCTACTATGTAAAAGATAGGTATGTTTTATTTGGATTGGACACTGAGAAACTGGAATCAAAAGGT